GGTGTAGATTACGTATTGAAACACACTCACACCCCACACTCACCCCCACACTCACCCCCACACCCAACACTCATACCCACACCCACACACTCACACTCACACCCACACTCCACACTCACACCCACACTCCACACTCACACTCATACCCACACTTGACTGCTTCGTGTAGAACTCAAGAAAAGCTGTCAATTGACATATAAAACAAGGGAAATTCTCTTCTCTGAGCTTTACATTAGCTGAAGAGCCATGTTTCTTGAAAAGAAAGAACGAGAAATCGGTTAGTAGCGTTCTATAACTCATAGAAACAATAGAATGCGAGACTGTTAGTACCATCGTAGAGATTTCAATGAGAGCTATATACTGCATACATTGAAAAGATATTTAGCTTGAGTCGAAGGCACCTTACTGATACAGTATAAATACGTTGTCAATACGGTGACCGTATGCAGTAGTTTTCTCCCACAGTATCATTACGGCCTAGATACGGTGATTGTATACGATTCGTTTACATAGCATTGTATTAGATGACCGTAAACAGTGCCGTATCGCATCGTAATACAGTGATACGTATTCGATCACCGTTTCCAGGCCAGAAATCGCCGTATTTCTATCGTATACGGCCGTTCCACTGCCGTGTCGTTCCTCCTGGGATAATGTATGGTACATTCGTTTACTAGTATATGACAACGATTCTAATGGGGAAACAGATAATAAAATGTTTATATATGATGATTTTGAAATAGATATGGCAGCAGAATTTGTCAAAACATAACTACGATCAGTTGAAATTGCTTAATTTAAATTGTTGTATATAAGAAAAATGTGTGAAACGAAGCAAATAGTTTTGTTCTTTTATTTCTATTGAAATAAAATCACTCATAGTTATTATCTTCTTTCTTTTATTCATTCACTCTTTCACTCGAACAGACCGTCTATCATTTACGAAAATCGAAAGTTCACGCATAAAAGTTTTAACATATAGTACCATTTTATTTTGAAAGTTATTCATAGAAAAATTAATATGAAATCACGACTAGGCTAAAATTCCGAAATTTAGCCTGGCCTGGTGCCTGGCAGGTCACCAGGCCAGACCAGCAGCTCTGGTTGTGACTATAAACTTTACTAGTTAATACGGGTATATGTGAAATATGGAGATAGTTTTAAAACATATTGTGTTAGTCTACGACAATGACTTTGATATTTATTGTTTCAATCTGCGACTTCATCAATAGGAGTAAATTTATTAATTATTTCGATTGATTTTAAACAAAATCATTAATCTTCTCAAATGAAAAATAAGAAATGAACTTGAAAATGTACTGAATAATGAACAAAACAATTAAGCAATCGTAAGCGATTACGTCAGACAGTAGCAATTACAAGGAAAAATAAAATTGTCAGAAGACAAGTATTTGTTGTGAATCGAATAGAATTATTATCAGATACAGGGGTTGTCGTTGTCGTCGTTCTATATCGTGGACAAACATCAACGACAATATCGTCGAATGCGACGGAAACAGCACTGGAGATGTATGGCGAAACATCGAACCAAATAGTAACGTTGCATGTAAGATCGAGAAGTTGCACTTCATCTGTCTTCCAGCCTTGAGTGTCATCTGTATGTATGACCCATAAAGTTGTCCTGTAACATCCTTTGATATGAGCACTCAGGTATGTTCCATTGCTGATGCTCTCACTCGATTTGACGTAGTAGGCAAAATTCAAACACATATGCTCGCGCTGCTCGAATATGGGTGTGCTCAAGAGTCCATCCATTGACGTATGCGTAGCATTCGACGGGCGATGCCAATAGACAAAGTACCCTGAACTAGAGTTGTATGTGTGATCCATGGTGGGTGCTAGTTCTTTATCCGGTACGGTTTGTCCAGTGACAATGGTGAAGTTATAAAGTGGGAGCTCAGGATCAAACCACACACCATTTTGCATCTTACACCAAGTTTCATGTTCAAAATTGCAAGCAAAAGCTGGAGAGCCGTAAACTTGTGAAGAACATAATAGAACGAGAATGGCGACGAGCAGCATTACGATAAAACATCAATGAAATTCAAGATAAGTGCTGTGCATGTTGATACACACTGTGCAGTGTTGTCTTATCAGGATTCATTTTATTTTTTGAAATATTACAGTGTTTCGTTTTCTTTTCCTGTGTATTTTGGACACAGTTTCAACCACTTGATCTTTTTAGCCAATGCAGATAGTCCGCCTAGCTTTTTTATGAAACCAATTGAGAACTGAGGGTGAGGTTGAAGTGGATTCTCTGACGCTGACCCGAAGTCACTCATCCTCACCTTCACCCACCTACCATCCCCAAGCTAAAACGGTTGCACTATGCCCGACGTATAGAGAAAATACTGAATACATTCGAGCTTCTATGTGTTTTTACTAGGTAAATGGCCCTAAAATCAATGTTTCGGCCCGCATTTCTCAGTGATAAAACCAAACAACCCCATATTTTGGATTTTAGTATAACTCGACTCGATCTTTCATTTAAGATATAGAAGCCAAAAGTCGAAAGACTTTATCTAGCCGAACATGGTCATATCCATAGTTCCTGATAAAGTGATCATGAAAAATGGCTTCGTCCTTTTCACAGCAGCAAGATCATAAAATATGGTGCACAGAAAAATTGTAGCGCTTGAAATTCTCTATCGAACGATGTATAATACATGCATTTAACATTCTACTGTTGCTATAAAAACACGACTGAAAACTATTGAAGTGCAACAAAGAGGCTGTCTGCATCAAGATATTCACCACCAAATGATATGATAGGTTCCCTCTTTCAAGTTCGTTCAATATGTGTCGAATAATGAAAAGAATTCCCTATTGATTTGTGTACAAAAAAGTTTTCTTTCGCTTTTATTTTATGTTCAAAACTGAGCAAAGACTGGGTACACCTATATGCTCATTTTTAGGCAGAAAATCCGGTCTTATGATGGCTATAACGAGTGTGGGTGTGGGTGTTCATCTTCTCTTCAGCGACACCTATATCCACACCCATATCATTGCAGAGTCATTTTAGAAAAAGCTTTCGAAAATGTAGCTGTTTTGTATTGACATGTTGAATTTAAGGAAATTCTGATCATCATGCATCATATACACAACAAATACTTCAATATGCCTATGTGAACAATATATCTTGCGTGAATATGAAATAATGTCGCATATGAGTATCTGTAAGAATGAAATTCCAGCATGACCACTCATGCTTTGTTTCAAAACGCTAAACTCAATTGTGTTTCATGCGTCTATTTGCAATGCGAACTTTGTCTCAATGTGCTATTATGATATATTTATACGTAACTGTTGCAAATATTTGAAATAACTGGCTTGTTTTCACATAACATATAATCATTTGAAAAATATTTTAGAGGTAAACGTGATTTTCAGATAGCTTTTCGTAAATACAAGTTGTTTTTTAATATATCTGAGTATGTAACATGATAATTAAGTGAATAGCAAGAAAAATGATCAGAAGGAAGCAGACTTTCACAAAAAACACATTTTATCATATAACCTTTCTACTAATTGAATGTAGCTTTTACATAAATGAAAATTTTTAATCAACAAAATAGTGCAGAACAATATTCTAGGCTTTTTCCTTTATATTATTTTATAACAACCATATTTTTTTCTCATATTCCTAATAGTTCTGTATCGTGAACATAAATTAAATACACTATTGCGCAGTTTCTAAAATGACCGAAACAACATCTTACGATCAAGTGAATCGACACAAGCGACTATATTATATTTTGATCAATATAAATCTTTTCGAGGATAAAGAAGAATTATCACTTGTCGATCAATTGCTCGCTTCAAGAGTTTTTCTCTCTTTATTGGCCACTATTCTTAGTATTGTTATTGTTTTCACTACTTTTAGTGTTCAAATAAATACTGTGACCATTCAATCACCAAGTGAAATTACTTTTGAAAAACTTTCTCTTCAATATCCAACTACACTTTCATGTCCGTGTAAACAAAGTTCAATTCAACATGATCAATTTCTTATATTTGATTTATACTATCATTCAATATGTACAAGTCAATTTGTCAATCAAACATTTATTTCATCTTTATTTGATTACCAGATGAGTGATTATTATCCATTAGATTATCGTATTATGGCAGCATCTCATTTTCAATTAGTTGCTCTACTTTGTCGAACAATAAAAGAAATGGTATCAGATGCTTTGAAAGAGTTTGCTACTAGGAACATGATCACTTATCAAGTTTTATCACATAGTATATTTAAAACCCAAGTAAAAGCACTTGTTGAACAATTAAAAGCAACAACTATCGTTAAAATCAAACATATCAATGATTTTCTGTCGTTTAATATTTTTGAAAATGGAATCGTTTCAGCATTGCGAACGAACTATTTTACTCAAGCTGTACCTGGGATTCAAACCGATATCTATTTCGAAAAAGAAACAGTGTGAGTATTTTTTGAATAACTTTTGATAGAAGCTAGATGGAGAGGTGCGATTTCCACCATTTAAAAGAGAAGATGGAACTGCATTGAATCGTCTATACCAGATTTTCTAACAAGTGTTGTCAAAGTCTACTATCAAGTTTATTTATCTCGAAAGATTGTTTAATGTAAAAGTTTTACGATCTCAATTTTCAGGAATGCACTAGAATCATTAACTGAAGATCTATAAATTCTATAAGTCCGATGTTGTAAGATTTAGTCAATCATGACTTATACACATTTTACTGCATGCTATCGGAAGATTTTTCATAAGAAATTGACTGTTTTTTTCATTTTTTAACGAACAATCCACCTTATAAACTTATTCAACGCCCTGGATTCTCTAAAAAAATTGGCGAAAGACTCTGAGAATATTTGTCAGAAAAATCTGGTATAGACAATTCGATGCAGTTTCATTTTCTCTTTTAAATAGTGAAAACTGCACCCTTCTATTTAGTTTCGATAAAAATTTTTCAATAAATACTCACACTGTTTCTTTTTTGAAATGGGTATTAGTGGATGCATTGCGGCTAGTTACCTGATGTGGAATATAAGGTGTTCTTGTTTAATAAACAACACTTGTGTACATCAAGCTGGCATCTACAATTGGACAGGACGTCGAGGCGTACACAGTGGGACTATTTTTGGAGATTTGACTTTTGATCCGCCATTATTATTAACAATACCTGGTCTTATGGTTGGATGTTTACCATACAATTCATTATTTAGATCAACACTAGAATGTTTCTATAATCAATCATGTATTGATCAGATTCAAATATTTATTAATGGATTATCATTAGTTACACCACTTTCATTATCTTGTTTCAAACAAAATACAACAGTGAGTGATCTATTTGATAACTTATTTATTGAATCATGGAATGAAAAGATTAATTTTACTGGTTATTTTCAAGTATGTTCTCCACATTCATGTACATATTCTTATGATCGACGGTTCAATCTACTTTATGTAATTGTTACTATTATTAGTCTTTTTGGTGGTCTAAAGACAATTTTATATTTCTCAACACCTTTAATAATCATGTTCATACGACGAATTCAGAAAAGTAAAAATTTTCAAAATACAACTGATCAAACACTAACAGAAAATCCAATGTGTATAAAGCAAAGTGAGTTTCTACTTTGTATAATTAGTCTCTTCATTCCTAAGTCTTATTTAATAGGTTTAAAATATCGTTTTACTTCCTATATAAGCGAAATTTACCAGAAACTACTTAAACTAAATATGTTTCCATTGTCATCTGACATCAATGATGGAATATATTCTACACGTATCTATATTTTATTATTCATTATAGGAATACTTTTTTTAGTTTTCTATTCATCAATTGCTGCTCGAATTCGAATTAATAATGTGTATCAACCGTCATTGAATGAATATGAAAGATTATATACACAATATTCATCAACACTCGTATGCCCATGTACTCATCTTTCTGTATCTTATTCATCTATTATGTATATAAAGCCTTATTATCATCAAGTGTGTTCAAGTGATTTCATCAAAGATAATGCGTGGTTGCTCTACTTTCGTGGATTACCTGATAATCTTCACGCTTTAGATTTTCGTGTTAGAGGTTCTAGAATATTCACTACACTTCAAACATTATGTAAGATGTCAAATGATACTGTAACAAATGAACTTGTTGTTTTCAATAATTTACAATTTGTCAGTAGTCAAGTATTGACAAAGAATACATTTAATACAGAAACATCTGCACTTATTCAACAATTTCAACAGCAGGTATGTGATAAAGAAAGGATTAAACTGATTTTCTTAGTTATTATAAGTTAATCTGATAGATTTCACATATATGATTCGAATCTAGTACTTGCATTGATGATCTTACATTTAGTTGATTGAGGCTACACGCGAAATAAAAGTTTGCCAATCGTTATCTCATATGATTTTGTTTGATTCATCTATATCATTTACCTAAGACTATGTACAGAGTATCCTAAAAGATCCAGCGTAAAAAAAATGGATATCTTTTAATCAGTTTGAGCTATTTATATAATTTTTTTTATAATTCGATAGCATGTTCCTTGAAGATTATTTCATATAATTTGGTTTACAAATGTTCAAAATGATCACTATCAACTGAAATACATAAAATTACCCTTGTCGAAATATTTGAACAAAAAACACACAACATAAAGCTTCTTTTGAAATCAAGATGATTTTCTTGATAATTCTCATTCATAATTCAGCGATGTCTTTGATAGCTGTTTTGTAGATGTTGTTTTTCATGAGTTTCCATAGAAAGAAATCCAGAGACGTTAAGTCTGGTGAGCGTGAACACCACCAAACTAAACTACATCTTTCAGTCTAGCTGTTAGGAAAATGATTATCCAAATATTGGGTGTGAGGTGTGGGATGTGGGTGAAGAGGTTATAGTGGGCTCGTACCCACACCCACACCCTAGGCGTTTTGGATAACAACAGATTTATTTTTCTCTTCGTTCTTATGGTTTATTTTCACTCAATTTTTCCACTAAAATCCATACAAGAGAACTGATCTTAAGATTTACAGCTTCGTTGAACTTGAAAATCGATTAAGAATCATATATGTGTCATATGATTGCTATGAATTTGAATAACTTTGCAGTAATTTTGATCTTATTTAAATTATCAGTTTCTCTTTATTTGTGTATATCAAAAGGATTTCAGTCTTGACGTTTTTTCAATTTTTTATTGTTTTGTTTTGATTACTTAAGACTCTGGCATCTTTTCTCGACCTATTTGAATTGGTTCGAACTTCAATTCAGCTCAATCAGTTTATTGTTTATGGTGGGGCTAATGCTCAAATAGTTCAAATATTGAACGATAATAACAACTCAATGCGTTTTGTATCAAACAATGATTGGAACAACCAGTGCTCATGTGGTACTAATGTTTCTTGTACACGTTCCGAAGGATTCTATCTTAGCGTAGCATCTCCTGTTTCATATACAGGTACATCGGAGGAAACGATACCGGGTTTGCTTGTAGGTTGTGTACTCGTTGATTCTCTTCTTGCATCTTCGCTTGAATGTTTTTATAATGCATTATGTATTCAAAGGCTTATTAAATTGCGTTCATATGATTTATATCTTGGCACAGTAGATTCTCGTGTGGCCAATGTTGTTCCACTTGATCCAACGGTTGATAGTCGTTTTTCTCCTGATACTACATTGGATCAAATTGTTTCGCAATTATTTATTGAAGGTTGGACAAATTCTACTAATTTTAGTTTCTATTATCGTCAATGTGCACCATATCAATGTACGTATACCTATGAAGAACGCTTTAACAGAGCTTATATTATTGCAACTATACTTGGTGTAGTTGGTGGTCTTTCTACAGCACTTCGAATATTGATTCCTCCTATAATGAGACTGTTCCGACAAATGTATTCTCATTGTCGCAAACATCGGAAACACGTTACAAGGGAACGCTTCGTAGAAAAAGGTAAGAATAAATGTCAGGGAAGTTAGCAGCTGATTCGAGATTTTTCAAAAACGATTCGATCCATTCACTTTGAAATGCCATTCATGAGGTTTTACACGCATATTTGCCTTCACGATTGCTTTCCAGATTAGCGATGCTGATGATATCTACGCCAACCGATAGAGCTCCTTTAGCTCCAACGAAGGAGCTTAGTTACATGAGTGACTCACCTGATGAAATGAGTCGTCAGAAAAAATAGTGGCTTAGAATCATCCAGTTCTGGATATTTCAGAGCTCATAACCAACGATTACTTACTTTCAGTTGGATGAAACACACAATATTCGACAGATCTGATCGGTATACGTCAAATGAGCTGTGTCTCAATAGTGGCTTAGATTTTCGAGTGAATTGCCACAGCAAATACCTCCTGGAAACCCGATTTTCGGATACAACATGGCTTCTGGCAAACAATGCTTTGTCTTCAATACAGTGAAATATGCAAGATTCGACAGGTCTGGTCGAGATGCATCGAATGAGCTATGTCTCATCAGTGGCTCATCTTGTCGAGAGAATTGTCAGAGCAAATACCGGCTGAAAACCCGGTTTTAGATACTTGAGGACTCCTGACTAACGATAGTTCGTTTTCAATCGAATGAAGTATACACCATTCGATAAAGCTCATCGAGTTGCATCTGGCTCACTCTATGCCTCAGTTGGCTTACTAAATAGGTCGAGTTGTTTTTGAAAAAGCTCGAATCGACTGCTAGCTTCCATTATATTAAGAATAAATGTTGTACTATTGAATTTTAACAAAAAAGAAACGAGATATTGAAGTAGTTACAAACTTTTTTATGGCTAATAATCACGTTAACTAAGAGTTTTGAGATCATCGGCTTAATTTAGTTGCGTAGTAATGATTAATGAAGAACAAAAATTTGATTTTTTTTTCTTCATATGCTAAGGTATTCGTCATAAAATTGCAATGTTTTTCACTCGATTTCAACATTCTATTCGAGCAATGAATTTATATCATAAAGTACGGAAACCTTGTTTACCAGAAAAATCACAAACAACAAATGATATATTAATTATACAACGTCAACAAATAGCTACTCGTTTTTATATTATTGTTTTTGTCTTAGCACTTATAGTTATAATAACTTTTACTGGATTAAATTCACAGATACATTCTGTGAAGGTAACATCTCCAACGGAATTAATATTTGAACAATTACAAACTCAATATTCATCATCATTATCATGTCCATGTTCACGAATAGCAATTCAATATTCAAAATTTCTTTCTGTTAAACCAATTGCTTATCATCAAGTGTGTTCAAGTTATTTTATTTCATCTAATTTTATTGAATTACTATGGGGAACTGAATCCTATGAAAGTTATTATTGGAATGTAGACATGAAAATATTAAGTACACAGTTTCGACTTTTAGCATCATTTTGTTCTCTTGTAAAAAATCTAATTGAACAAAAGATTGAAATATTCTCTTCACAAAAGTTCATTAGTGTTGAAGCATTAACACGTCATTCATTTCAAACTCAAATCGATTCTATTATTGATCATTTTATTGTTCAGGCACCAACTAGTTTTCGACAAATACATAAATATATCATAGAAATGATTCATGCTAATCAATTACATAATATATTCTACACAAATTGGAATCTTACTATATCTAATCCTAATGATAATTATATTATGTCAACAAGTCCAATATCATATAATGATAGTAATAGTTCATGTTCATGTGCAACTATGTCAACATGTTCAAGATCTCTTTTGACTAATAATAACAAGACAGAAATATTGTCAGGTAAAATGTTTATTTACAATAGTGATTAATTCTCGTTCGTAGGTTGTAGTTTCTTTTATAGACTGATTAATTATTCGATAGAATACGTTTGCTAACTATATATATATGTATTCTAGAGTGCTGTCAGTCAGTCTCGAATCCTGTAAAATCTCGTTTGTCTTTCTCACGAAACGACCTGGATTGCATCGAATTTTCTAATCCTTATATCAAAAATCTATCGTGCATTTTAATTTTTTGATTTCTAACAAATATCTTGATATATAAATAAATAACAGAAAAAAAAACTAATAGAGACAGAGCTAGACTGCCACTTGAGCAAAGCTCGAGTAGAGAGGACGGCTAACTGCATGAGCCAGAAGGCATGTCAGAACGCGATCCTATACAGCGTCCGATGTTTCTAAATCTAAGAGTTCCGTTGACGAAATCATAATAAATTTCAGTCATGTTCCACTGCCTCAGT